TGGTTGTGGTTGTTGTTTAACTCTTTTTTGTTATACTTATTTATTTTATTTTTGGATTCGTTTTTATCCGGTCTTCCCTACGTAAGAGTGAAAACTTCTCCACGCAAAAGGAGCTTCATTTTGGGGACAACTCTAAAAGCACCTGTAGAATCTCCTAGGGGCCACCTTGGCGAAAGAGACACTGAAGATTTCCGTTTTGTTATGATCCGTGATCCCTTGTAGCATGTGCCTTGAAAACTTCTGAGATGTTTTTGGTTGGCTGGTTGGCTGCCTGTCTGTCTGTCTACGGTTCCTCCATCCGTTCGTGGATTCTCAGCGGATCCCAGAATGCCAAACCCTAAATAGAGTCTCTTGACTACTATAGGTCGTTTACTTGTTATGGGAAGGCACATGAGAAGCACTGTCAGACAAAGAATCATAAGCCCTCTTAGATTATATTGCGTGAGTGAATGCTGCCGGTGTTCCAAACACGAAATGAAATTCCTAAACTTGTAACGTGTCCTGGTAGAGGGCCATCACTCCACATTCGAACTGTTTAAATGCTCTGCGTGCGTGCGTGCATGTGTTGTGTGTGAGTGTGTGTGTGTGACAGAAACTGGTCGGATTTTCCTCTCGACTGCATTATAATGAATTCCCATCGGGTCTTTAGGCACGTCCCTCCGTGGGTGACCTCCCCTCACGTGCAGGTGTTGTTCGGAAGGTCTTGCAACAATACGGTCGGCCTTTCAGAAGATTCGCAGAAAGGACTCTGGACGAATCCCGGTGTCTGGCCACCCTGAGATCGTCCAACTACATACAGTAGGAGTTGCCAGAACTAATGAAAAAGCTGCATGGAAACCGATCAGAAAGGAACAACGTGGAACTGAATGAGTTCCACGAAACCTTGAACAGAGTTCAGAAACTCTCAGTGAGTCATCTTCCCTTTTTTTGGCGATTGTTAAATCCTCTTCAGAAGGTCTGTGGGAATCCGTTCTCATTGTAACCAGACACCTTTGGAAGGATCCGCTGTATCACCAAGGCCTTCCCTGAGTAGAATGGCGTCTGTTTTTCTTTCTTTCGACCTCCCCCGGTCCCCACGCAGCCCTCCCCTCCTCCCTCCCCTCCCCTCCCCTTCCCCCCCACCCCCCGGGGCCCCCGGGGTCCATTTGTCAAAGTGATCTCTACTCCCAACGTAGGGCTCGCACTCACGACCTGGAGGTCAAGAGTCCTGCTCTCTACTGACCGAGCGGGCCAGGGGCCCCTGGAATCGCATCCTAAGACTCAGATAGGATCAGACAGCCTGGAGACACTCAGATCCACTTCTCGGGAGCCCAGCCGAGCCCCTCGGAAACCCTGAGCCTGACACCTTCCTTCCAGAGGTCGCCACGGCCTCACTGGGCGAGTCAAGAGTGCCACCTCCTGGCGGACGAAACCGAGAGTCGGCTGCTTAACCCCAGCGAGTCTCCCAGGTTGCCCCTACAAGGTGCTTGGAAATGCTGAGGCTCAACGACACCGGAACCACAACAACCGGAAGAACAGAAAAGAAGAGCAAAAGAAATGCTGAAGTTCTTCCTTCTGGCCTTGCCTTTACGGGGCGTGTGCCGTCTGCGACCACGCCTGTCTCCGCGGACAGGAAGAAAAGAGTCCAGATGACTGAACCGGGGTTCTGCACTCTGCGGACCACAGGAACCCCCTCCAGCCTGACCCAGGAACTCCCTTACTCTGAGCCAGGGACAGGGGGTCTTGTTTTGTGTTTCGGTTGTGGTCCAAAAGACAGGCGTCACCTACGGTGGAACCTTGTAACCCTTTCTAAGCCTAGAGTCGCTCAGCGGCATTACATACGTTCACACATCCTCCTCCTCGCCAAGTTATCTTTCCATTCCATTTTTTTTTTACTCTCTTTTTTAAAATTTTTTAAATTTTATTTATCTATTTATTTATCTATTTATCCATTCATTTATTATTCATTTATTTATTTATTATTTTTAAGGATTTTTTTATTGAGAGAGAGAGAGAGAGAGAGAGAGAGAGGCAGAGACACAGACAGAGGGAGAAGCAGGCTCCATGCAGGGAGCCCGATGTGGGACTGGATCCCAGGTCTCCAGGATCACACCCCAGGCTGCAGGCGGCGGCAAACCGCTGCGCCACCGGGGCTGCCCTCCATTTTTTTTTCTTTTTTTTTTTAATTTTTACTTATTTATGATAGTCACAGAGAGAGAGAGAGACGCAGAGACACAGGCAGAGGGAGAAGCAGGCTCCATGCACCGGGAGCCCGACGTGGGATTCGATCCCGGGTCTCCAGGATCACACCCTGGGCCAAAGGCAGGCGCCAAACCACTGCGCCACCCAGGGATCCCTGCCCTCCATTTTTTTACTCTTAAGTTTAATTTCTTAAACTGTATTGATCGGCACCCGATCTCTGCCTCTCTCTCTCTCTCTCTCTCTCTCTCTCTCCCTCCCTCCCTTCCTCCCTCCCCCCCTCTCTCATGAATAAATAAATAAAATCTTTAAAAAATAAATGAATAAATAAACTGTATTTATTCACGGGAGACACACAGAGAGAGGCCGGGACGCAGGCAGAGGGAGAAGCAAGCTCCACGCTGGGAGCCCGGTGCGGTGCTGGATCCCTAACCCTAACCCTAACCCTAACACGTACCCGAAACCTAACCCTAAACATAACGCTAACCCTAAACCTAACCCGTACCCTAACCCGTACCCTAACCCTAACCCTAACCCATACCCAAACCCTAACCCTAACACTAACCGTGAACTTAACCTTAACCCGTACCATAACCCTAAACCATACCCTAACCCTAACCCAAACCCTAAACCGAATCCTATCCCTCACCCTGCCCGAACTCTAACCCTTACCCTAACCCGTACCCTAACTCGTAACCTAACCATAACCCGTACCTTAACCCTAACCCTAACCTGTAACCTAACCCGTACCCTAACCCTAACCCGAACCCTAACCCTAACCCTATCCCTTACCCTAACCCGTACCCTATTCCTAACCTGTAACCTAACCCGAACCCTAACCCTAACACTAATCCTAACCCTGACCCGTACCCTCAACCTAATGCTAACCCTAACCCGTACCCTAACCCATACACTCACCCTAACCCTAACCCTAACCCGTACCCTAACCCTAAACCTAACCCTAACCCATACCCTAACCCGTATCCAAACCTGTACCCTAACCCGTTCCCTAAACCTAACTCTACCCCTAACTTGTACCCTAACCCTAACCAAACCCTAACCCTAATGCTAAACCTAACCCTAACCCATACCTGAACCCGTCCTCTAACACTAGCCCTAACCCTAACCCGAACCCGTACCTAACCCTAACCCGTACACTAACCCTAACCCTAACACTAACCCAAACTTCTACCCTAACCCTAATCCCAAACCGTACCCTAACCCTAACCCGTATGCTAATCCTAAGCCTAACCATAACCAGTACCCTAAAACTAACCCTAACCCGGCTCCTAACCTGTACGCTAACCCTAACCCTAACCCGTACCCTAACCCGTAACATAACCATAACCCTAAACCTAATCCCAACGCTAACCACAACCCTAATCCGTACCCTAACCTAACGCTAATACTAACCCTAAACTTCACTCTAACCCTAATCCTAACCCTAACCCTAACCTGTACTCTAACACTAACCTAACCTGTACACTATCCATAACCCTAACCCGTACCCTAAACTAACCCGTACCCTACCCATATCCCTAACCCTAACCCTAAACCTAACACGTACCCTAACACTAAACCTAACCCGTACCCTAACCCTAACCAGTACCCTAACCCTAAACCTAACTCGTTCTCTAACCCTAACACTAACCTGTACTCTAAACCGTACGCTAACCCTAACCCTTACCCTAACCTTAACCCGTAACCTAACCCTATCCCATACCCTAACCCTAACCCGTACCCTAAACCGTATCCTAACCCTAACCCGTAAGCTAACCCTTACCATAACCCGAACCCTAAACTTAACCCATACCCTAAACCTAACCCTAAACCATAACCTAACCCTAACCCTAACTATAACCCTAACGCTAACCCTAACCCTAACCAGTACCCTATCCCATACCCTAACCCTAATGCTAACCCATAATCTAACCCTAATCCTAACACTAACCCTAACCTTAACCCTAACCCATACCCTAACCATAACCCATACCGTAACCCTAAACCAAACCCTAACCCGTATCCTAGCCCTAAACCAAACCCGTACCCTAACCTCAACCCTAACCCTTACCTTAAACCTAACCCTAACCCTTACCCTAACCCTAAACCGTACCTTAACCCTAACCCGAACCCATACCCTAATCCGAACGCTAACCCTAACCCTTACCCTAACCCGTACCCTAACCCATACACTCACCCTAATCCATACCCTAACCGTAACTAACCCATACCTAACCCATACACTCACACTAACCCTAACCCTAATCCGTACCCTAACCCTAAACCGTACCCTAACCCTAACTCTAACCCTAACTTGTACCCTAACCCTAACACTAATCCGTAAACTAAACCGTATGCTAAAGCTAACCCATACCCTAACCCGTACCCTACCTCTAACCCTAACCACAAGCTGTACCCTAACCCTAACACTAACGTTAACCTGTACCCTAACACATACCCTAACACTAACACTAACCCGTACCCCAACCCTAACCCTAAAACTAACCCTAACCTTAACCCCCTCCCGTACCCTAATCCTTTTTTTTAACTAAAACAGATGACAATTTTATTTTCACATTTCACCATACAAATGAAAATTGCCTTTTTTTTGTCCCACTACTCCCCTGCAAAAACTATTCTCTCTTTGATATGAAGGGGAAGCAAGTCTTCCTTGTCATGCTGTTAGAAAACACCCACAGTCACAGCACCATGATCTCCTGGTGAAGTAGAACAAGTAATATAAAATGAATATAAAGAGGTTCCTGTCTCTCCTTATATGTCTGGTCGAGTCATTCCTGGCCAAGTGGGCACCATCATGGGACGAGCAGGAGGTCTCCTCATTGGGGCCCAGGCATCATTGGCATATGGCCTCCCATAGGTGGCCTCATTCCAGGAGCACTAAGCGTTTGTTCGGAGTTGTAGGAAATATGAGCAGGAGGCCCATGCTGAGAACCAGGTCCCACTGGCATCATCCCGGGAGGAGGAGGGCCCATCATTGGCATCATGGGAGGGCCCCCCATATGGGGGGCTGGCATCATACCAGGGCGAGGAGGACCCGGGAGACTGGGGGGAGGTGGGATCATTGCCCCTGCAGGAGGAGGAGCATAGAATGGAGTAGGAGGTATCTTTCCTTGTTGAAATGCAGCGGTTGTTTTGTCCATCAGGCTCTGAGCCTGCTCTTCCATCCATTTCTGATAGTAGTCTTTCACATTCTCTTTGTGTTTCCTGCCACTGCAGTGTGTCTTTCTCACAGATGGAGAGTCATGGGTGAGGTATGTGTCGCAGTAGTCACAATAAAATTTAGGCATGTTGCTCTGCAGGCCGTTGGCCACTCCCTCGTACCCTAATCCTAATGCAAACCGTACCCTAACCCTAAACCTAACCCTCACCTGTACACTAACCCTAAACGTAACCCTAACCCGTGACCTAACCCTAACCGTTACCCTAACCCATACCCTAACACTAACCCTATCCCATAACCTAACCCTTCCCCTAAACCTAACCCTAAACCTAACCCTAACCTGTACCCTTACCCGAACCCTAACCCATACCCTAATACTAACCTTAACCACCCGAACCTAACCCTAAACCCTAATCTCAACCTAACCGGTACCCTAACCCTAACCCGTACCCTACCGTAAACTGTACCCTAACCCTAAACTGTACCCTAACCCTAACCTGTACCCTAACACATATTGTAACCCTAACCCTAAACCATACCCTACCCCTAACCCCACCGCTAACCTGTACCCTAAACCTAACCCTAACACTAAACCTAACCTGTACCCTAACCATAATCCTAAACCATACCCTAATCCTAACCCTATCTCTAATCTGTACACTAAACCTAATCCGTACTCTAACCCAAACCCTAAACCTAACCAGTACCCTAACCCATACCCTAACCCTTCCCCTAACCCTAAAACTAACCCTAACCCGTATACTCACCCGTACCCTACACCGTACCCTAACACTAAACCTAACCCTAACACGTACCCTAACCCTTACCCGTACCCTAACCCTAACCCGTACACTAACCCATAACCTAACCATAACCCTAACCCCTAACCTTACCAAAACCCTTACCCTAAACCTAACCCTAACCTGTACCCTAACCCTAAACCTAACCCGTACCCTAACCCTCACCCTAACACATACCCTAACCCTATCCCTAAACCTAACCCGTATCCTAACCCTATCCCTTATCCTAACCCGTACCCTAATCCCAACCCATACCCTAACCCGTACCCTAACCCTAAAACTAGCCTGTACCCTAACCTTAACCCTAACCCTAACCCTAACGCTAATCGTAACCCTTACCCGAACCCTAAACCATACCCTAACAATAACCCTACCCCGTACCCTCACCCTAAACCTAACACGTACCCTAACCCTAACCCATACCCTCACCCGTACCCTAACCCATACACTAACCCTAACCCGAACCCGTACCTAACCCTAAACCATACCCTAATCCTAACCCGTACCCTAACCCTAACCATATCCTAACCTTAACCCGTACCCTAACCCGTACCTTAACCCTAACTCTAACATGTACCCTAACCCGTATCCTAACCCTAACCCTAACCCTTACCCTAACCCTAACACTAACCCGTACCCTAACCCTAACCCTAACCCGTAAACTAACCCTAAATCTAACACTCAATCTAACCCTAATCCGTACCCTCACCCTAACGCATACGCTAATCCTAACCCTAAACCTAACCTGTAGCCTAACACTAATCCTAACCCGTACCCTAACTCATACGCTAACCCTAACCCTAACCCTAACCCGAAACCGAACCCGTACCCTAACAGTAACTCTAACCCATTCCCTATTCCTCACCCTAACACTAACACTAACCCTAACCCATACTCTATCCCGTACCCTAACCCTAATCCTAAGCCGTACGCTAACCCTAACCCTAACCCATACCAGTACCCTAACCCTAACCCTACCCGTACCCTAACCCTAAATAATACCCTAACCCGAAACCTAACCCCTAGCCTAACCCTAAACCCTACCCTAACCTGTAACCTAACCTGTACCCTAACCCTACCCCGAACCCTAACCCTAACCTTAACCCGTACCCTAAACCTAACCCTCAAACGTACCCTAACCCTAATCCTAACTCTAACCTGAACACGTACATAACCCTAACATATACCCTAACTAAGCGTTCCCTAACCCTAACCGTTCCATAAATCATAACCTAACCCGTACCCTATCCCGACCCTGACACTTACCCTAACCCTAACCCTAACACTAAACTTAACCCGTACCCACATTCGTACCCTAATGCATACCCTAACCCTAACCCTAACCTAAACCCTAACACTAACCCTAACCCTAACCCGTATTCTAACCCTAACCCTAACCCGTACCCTAACCCTAATGCTAACCAGTACTCTAACCCTAACTCTAAACCTGACCCGTACCCTAAACCTAACCCTAACAATAACCCGACACCTAACCTTAACCCGAACACTAAATCTAACACTAACCCTAACACTAACACTAATCTCTACCCTAACTCTGACCTGTACGCTAACCCTAACCCTAACCAGTACCCTTACCCTAACACTAAGCCATAACATAACCCTAAACCTAACCCGTACCCTAACCCTAACCGTAACCCTAACCCGAACCCACCCCTACACTAACCATACCCTAACCCGTAACCTAACCCATACCCTAACCCTAACCCTAACCCTAAACTTAACTCATACTCTAACCCTAACCCTAAACCGTACCCTAACCCTAACCTGAAACCAAACCTGTACCCTAAACCTAACACGTACCCTAAACCTAAAACAAACCCTAACCCATATCCTAACCCTAACCCTAACCCTTACCCTAAACCTAACACAAACCCTAACCCTAACCCTAAACCGTACCCTAACCCGTCGCTAACCCTAACCATAACCCTAACTCGTCCCCTAACCTAACGCTAATACTAACCCTAACCTTAACCCTAACGCATTCCCTAAACTTAACCCTAACCCGTACCCTTACCCTAACCGTAAACCTAACCCGTACCCTAATCCTAACCCGTACCCTAACCCTAAACCTAACCCATACCCTAATCCTAATCCGTAATCTAACTCTAACAATAACCCGTACTAACCCTAATCTGTACCCTAACACATACCATAACCCTAAACCTAACTGTAACCTAACCCTAACCCGTAACCTAACCCTAGACCTAACCCGTAACCAAACCCTAACATTAACCCGTACCCTAACCCTAACCCTAACACTAGAGCATACCCTACCCGTCCCCTAAATCTAACCCTAACCCTAACCCTAACCCGTACAGTAACCTGTAACCTATCCCATACCCTAACCCTAACCCTAACCCTAATCCAAACCGTATTAACCCTAACCCGTACCCTAACCCTTACCGTACCCTAACCCTAACCCGTACCCTAAACCTAACCTGTACCCTAACCCTAACCCGAACCATAATCCGTACCCTAACCCTAACCCTAATCCTACTCCGAACCCTACCCTAAACCTAACCCGTACCCTAACCCGTACCCTAACCCTAAACCTAACCTTAGTCCGTACCCTAACCCTAAACCTAAACCGTACCCTAACCCTAAACCTAACCCTAACCCTAACACTAACCCTAACCTTAAACCAAACCTGTACCCTAACCCTAACCCATACTCTAACCCTAACCCAAACCGTAACCCATATCCTTTCCCTAACCCTAACCCCTACCCTAACCCTAACCCTAACCCAACCCTAACCCTAACCCTAACCCGTACCCTAACCCATACCCTAAACCTAACCCTTACCCTATCCCTAACCCGACCCCTAACCTAACGCTAATACTAACCCTAACCTTAAACATAACCCGTACCCTAAACTTAAACCTAAACTGTACGCTAACCCTAACCCGTACCGTACCCTAAACCATACCCTAACCCATACCCTAACCTTAACCCCTACCCTAACACGAACCCATACCCTAAACCGTACCCTAACCCGTACCCTAACCCTAACCCTCACCCTAACCCTAAACTTAAAACGTGCCCTAACCCTAACACTAAACCGTAACCTAACCCTAACCCTAACAGTAACCTAACACTAACTGTACCCGAACCCTATCCCGTTCCCTAACCCGTACAGTAACCCTAACCCTAAACCTAACACTAACCTTAACCCGTACCAACACCCGTACCCTAACCCATACCCTAACCCGAACCCAAACCAGTACCTAACACTAACCCGTACCATAACCCTAACCGTACCCTAACCCTAACCTGTACCTGAACCCTTACCCGTACCAGAACCCTAACCATACCCTAACCATAACACGAATCCTAACCCTAAACCGTACTCTAACCCATATCCTAACCCTAACCCTAATCCGTACCCTAACCATAACACTAACCCATTCTCTAACCCTAACCATAACCCGTACACTAACACTAACCCGTACCCTAACCCATACCCTAACCCTAACCCTAACCCATACCCTAACCCGTACCTAACCCTAACCCGTACCCGAAAATGTACCCTAACCCTAACCGTACCCTAACCCTAACCCTAACACATACCCTAACCCTAAACATAACCCTAACCCATCCCTGACCCTAACCCGTACCCTAAACCTAACCTGTACCCTAGCCCGTACCCTAACACTATCGTAACCGTAACCATAACCGTAACCCTAACCCTAATCCCTACCCTAATCCATACCCTAAACCGTACCCTAACCCTAAATTTAATCCTAACTCTAACCCATACCCTAACCCGAACCCTAATGCTAACCATAACCCTAACCCATACCTTACACGTACCAAATCCTAACCCTAACCCGTACCCTAACCCTAACCCTAACACTCACCCTAACCTTAACCCTAACCCGTACCGTAACCCTGACCCGTATGCAAAAACCATCCTAACCCTAACCCATACCCTAAACCTAACCCTAAACCTAACCAGTACCCTTACCTAATCCTAACCCTAACACGTACCCTACCCTAATCCTAACCCTAACCAGTACCCTAACCCTAACCCTAACCCTAACCGAACCCTAACCCTAATCCTAAACCATACCCTAACCCTAACCATACCCTAAACCGTAACCTCACCCTAATCGTATGCTAAACCTAACACTAACCCTAACACGTACACTAACCAGTACCCTTACGCACACCCTAAATTTAACCAAACCCGTACACTAACCCTAACCGTAACCCTAACCCTAAAGCTAACCCTAATCTGTAACCTAACCCATACCCTGACCATAACCCTAACCCTAACGCTAATCCTAACCGTAACCCGTACCCTAACCTAACCCTAACCCGTATCCTCACC